AGGAGAGAAAAAGAGAAAGAAAGAGAGAAGAAGAAGAATAAGAATAAGAAGAAGAAGATTTAGGTGAAGGAAAATAAAAAATAAAAAATAAAATTAATCAGTTCTCAATCGTTTTTCACAAACATGAATCTCTATCACGAATCACTTTTTTTGTTTTACACACTTCACTCACGTCCACTCTTGCTTGGAAGTCCATCATTAGATTTTGTCTTTTCATCAATTTTTTATCTACTTTTATTGAGATGAGGGTCACTGCTCACATTCATTTGCAAGGCCAGAAAATAACTTAACTAGTCAACAATACAACAATCAACTCAATACTTTTCTACATAGAAATCCACATATCCACATTGTCATCATCATTTATATATAAAACCAAATCAAACCAACCAACTAATAATCTAACATAGACTCTACATATGATCCTAAAAAAAAAAAAAAATAGAGACTATGATACAGTCTGTGAAGGCGACAGTGATCGGAGTTGGAGTTACTGAGCTTGTTTCCGATAATACCCAGATCATAATGTGTTCTCTGAGGTTTCCCTTATTACATTCATTCGTCGCCTCACTGCTACCACTCTCATCCTCCTCTTCGTTGGGTTAAGGTTCTTAGTTCTCAAACATTTGAGAACTTAGAGAGTGAAGAAAACATGGGAAGAGGAAAAGGGGAAAAAGGGCAAAAAACAACGCCGTTTTGGAACAACAGGGAGCTCCACAAGGTACAACGGTAGAGGATCTGAACTTTTAGTTAGAAGGCTGTAAAGGAATCCAAATCCTCTACCATGAAAACCTGCAATGCTTCCTATGGTGGTTCCAAAATGACGTCAGGTGTGAAGTGGCTTAACAAATATATGGTTTTGTTTCCTTGTTAAACACCCTCTCTCTCTCTCCCTCTGTGTGTGTGTGTGTGTGTGTGTGTGTGTGTGTGTGTGTGTGTGTGTGTGTGTTGTCCATCATGTTTAGGGGGAAGGTTCCTCTTCGTTGCTGGTTACATAGCCCTTGTTTTTGTTCATGTTCATTTTTTGCTTTGTGTGAATTACAATACTAATTGTGGTGGGTAAAAATCGTTACACCTGGCTACGGCGGTGATGCGGTGCTTATAGCTTGACTTCAGACCTGAAAGACACTCACAAAAAGGTGAAGGGGTTGACTGGAGCAGCTTGGGGTCCCTTCGATGCCTAAGTCAATGATAAAGTAGACAAAGGTGCAGGATATGTAGAGCAAGGTTCAGGTTGAAGTAGTTGTGTACCTTCATTGTGTTGATTAAATTTCTTTTTATAGTTTGCTCCCACTAGCCATTGTGGGCTGTTAGGCTTCCCTCAATTCCTTACGTTAACCCCCTTTCCTTAGGGATTATGTTCCACCAAGTACAGATTTCTAGGAGTCGGTTGGGCCTAAAATAAAAGGATGTGTGTTGACTGTGTCCAAGCCCTCCTAAGGCGTGCTTACTGTGGCCTTTCCCATGTTCTCAAATCCCCCTGACCTAGTCTAGTCCTGGGGCTCCATACCAGACTCAAATCATCCAGGGTTGAATTTCCAATTTGCTAGCGAAGTTACCTTTCTACCATGGCTACCAGTCCAGGAATTTTAGTTTTGCCTGAGCTTAATTTATTTTAGCCTCCCATAATTTCCCTCCCCAACTCTGGCTTCTTTTCTCCTCCTAGGCTAAGTTTTGACAGCCATTGCAAGAGGTTTTGTCCGTAATTCTAGGGTTTCGTGCTAAGCGTTTTAATTTTCAAATGGAGGGATGTCCTTTCGTTTGACGCATCACCTCTGTACTTGGACACGAGGCCTCAGGCCATTAGTCCCAGACCGATGTGTCTGCTAGATGAAATGAGGGTATGTCCATTCATAATCATTCTGATGCTATAAATTTTCCACTAGAGTCTCTCTTCCTACAGTACTCATTCGTTCTTTCTGGAGAAAAAGTAAAAGAGAAGATTTTGATTGTAGCATTTCTGTTCTAGTGATTTTCCGTTCCAATCTTGTTTTCGATGACTGTAAGTCTCCTTGTCTCTCTTTCATTCCTTGATTTCATTCCCTTTTTGGTCTTATGGGCAAATATCGCATCATTCTTGAATCGCCACAAACCCTAGCCGCCTTTCACAAGCGGTTGGCATCCCTGATGATGTCCACATTCGTTTGCAGAAAGACTCTGATAGACTCGAGGGTGGCCCTGACTATATTTGCATGCCCCTTGTCGCCATTACTAATGGTGGGGTAAGATTTTCCCTTAACACCCTCTTAAAGGAATGCATGAGTTCCTGGTCCCTTACACCTATTCAACTCTCTACTAATATCTATAGAGTTGTGAATGGAGATTATGTCCATCTATGTTCTCATAGCCTACAATGCCAAGGCCCCAACTTAGGACCTTAAGTATTATCTAAGGCCAAAGAGTGCCTAAAAGAAACTCAATACCCTCATTCCATAAACCAACAAGGACCTAGAGGAAGACATTATGATAATCTCTAGGAACTAGGTATTTGAGAGCTCCCCCAATACCTGGCCTAGACCCAGAACCTTCGGAAGAGCAGGTCCTTCCTGTTTCTTAATCTATATTTTCCTTTGAACTTGCATTGCTGACTTGTTCTTAGCTGTTCCATCTTTTTCGTCCAGATCACAGAATCAACGTTGTGAAGCATCTTTGCAAATACGTCATCCGTTAGGAAGAACTAGAGAAGATCTAGAAACTCCATGAGGAAGAGAAATATGCCCCCAAGCTACTAGGTTTTGAATCCTCTACATCTTATTTGAAAAGACGGAAAGAGGTCATCCCAGGCTTCTTCTAAGCAACAAGAAAGTTCAATCGCTGGTCTAACCAAGAGAATTTCTGATCCTATCATTGACCTTACTGATCCATCCATGGATGCTGAGATTGAAGACTTGGCCGCTACCCTTGTATGTCGTTCTTTAAGGACTTCAAAAATCACCACCCCTCCTTCCGCCAAGAAGAAAAGAAAGCTACAAAAAGGTCCAGAACTTCTAAAGGTGAAATAGGAAGTAGGAGACGTGCTTGGTGCTGGTGAATCCATCACCCCAAAATCTATAAAGTTGAAACGGCTTACTCTACCTGTAGCCGCTATTGCTGCTGACCTAGAAGATCTTGCTACCAAACGTCCCAAGACACAAGGGGCAAGCAAGACTATGTTCTATGAGGTTTCTGATGATCAAATCAGGCCTCAAATGCTACTTCCCAACCGTCGTTATGTGTTCAAGAATGACAGCCTCATGGAAGTTCCTGAACTAGGCTTCTAACTTAGCAAAGGTTTTACTCTACCTAAGGACATGGCCTCTCTTTAGCCACTGGATGACGCTTCTCTGGTCCGTACGGGTGTTGTTAGCGCCATGAAGATAAGTCCTTTTATACCAAGACCTTTTTCTGTTCTTTGTGTTTAACTTGACTGAATTTTCTTAATTACTTCTCCATTCTGTAGGCCATCCAAGTCTGTCACGAGAGTCTGTCCAGACTGAACTCTTACAAGGTTGCATCCAATCTGTTAAGGCCTTTCATGCTTTAAAATCTACTACTGAGATGGACAAGAAACTCAAGTTGATGTCTGACTTGTTCCTAAAGCTTAAAACTGAACAAGAAGTTGTTGAGGGTGCAACCTATCTAACCAAAACACAACTAGAAGAAGCCCAAGAGAATCTAGCCTCTACTCTTGCTGCCAATGCGACACTAAAAAAGAAGGAGAAGGAAAAACTGGAGAAATGTCGCAAGGGCATTAACAAGAAATATCTACAACAAACTTACAGGCTTCAGGATGATCTGTTTATTGATGGCTAGAAGGCTACCCTGGCTAAGGCTGGAATTACTCATGATTCCTCCTTGTACTTCAACCCAATTTTGCCTTGGAAAAAAGACTCACCACCAGCGGAAGAAGCTAAAGAGAAGGACTTTGAGGTTGAACTTCCTGCCCCAGAGCCTCAAGAGTGAAAAATCTAAAAATCCCTAGATATTGATTTGTGATTATATTTCAATTCTTAAACAATAAATAATAATCCCAATCAAACAATCAAAGACAAATTGACACAATGATTTAACATGGACAAACGAGAATTGGAGCGCCTCCAATTGTGATAAAAAAAACCATGGGCCAAAGCCACAAAACAATCCACTAAGAAGACAAAAAGGAATTATACAAGTGTACTCTCAATTACCTAGCGAATCCACGCTCGAATTGAACCGACCCCAATGTGTCTCTTCCATCACCATCTTCACCTCAAAATTTTCATGTCCAATGTTGAATCCACAACGCTAATGTCAATTCCACGACGATGAGCCACTCTAGAATCCACTAAAGCTTCAGGCCCAAGTTTCCCGAAATCCACCGAAGAACAACTCTCTCTTTTATGAATAAAAGAAAAATAAACAATCCCTTGATAATGTTGATATGAAGTTCACGGATCCATTGATCACTCTTAAATCATCAAGGAAACACTCTTAAAGCATCCTCCAATATAAAAAACTTTGTTTTTTTCTTCCTCTCTGAAAAAAAATGGACGGCACAAATCCTAAGAATAGCGAACAATGCCCTTTATAGAAAACAGGATCGAGCAGACTGCTCGAGCGCACATTTTATCACTCGAGCGGTGTGATTAAAGGCAATGCGAAACATATAGGCTGACCGCTCGAGCGTAACTTTCATCGCTCGAGTGGTGAAACTTTCTTCCTAGAAGTTCAGGCATTCTAGAAAAATATTGGATGATCGTTTTCTTTGCTCGAGCATACAAATGACCGCTCGAGTGGTCAAACAACTTCAACTGCAATTTTGCTTTTTGCTTCAGGGGCAAACATGAAAGGACTATGATCACAAACTCCTCTGCAAGGCACAATTCGAGTTGGATTCGTATCTAAACACTCATAGTCTCACTGAAACAAAAGAACCAATAAAATTACAACCGAAAAAAGTTTTGTCAAATGGGATTGCTAATTACAAAAACTTAACAAAGAGAAAACTTTCTCTAATGTTCCATATGTTCCTCCTACCGCAGAGATTCTTGCCCCTGCTGAAGGTAGGGATGTTGGAGCTGTTTCTTCTAGAGCTGCTAAGGCTGATGTCACCAAGACCCCTGCCATGATGAAAGATTGAGAGATTTCTGTTGAGTTTTTTTCTTTTGTTTTTCCTTCTTTTTGCTAGTTTTTGTCTGTGGCCCAGAAAACTTTGTAAGGCCTAGTCTTTGATGTGATTACAACTTTTATAAATAGAAGTTTTTGTTTGTGTTGTTTTTATCTAAGTTCTAAGTACTTTTCTAAATGCCTTTTCTGGGCTAATATGGGTGTGTAAGGCACCCTGTTTCAATCCCTAGCTTGGTCGGTTATGAAAATGAGGGCAACCAAGCTACAGAAAATTGACTGGATGGAGAATTTTGGTAGCATAGAAAATTTGATGAATTTTGACTAAGGTAAAAAATTGACTAAGTAGAAAGTTGAAAAACTTAGTAAAATTTGGAAATTTTTGATTAAGTAAAATCTGAAAGACTCTGGTAGACTTTGGAAAATTTTGACTAAGTAAAATTTGAAAAAAAAAATTACTAATTAAATTTCTCTCAGCAGTTTAACTATGTTTATACATAAGAAGGTTTGCATTTTTGGACGTAAGAAAAACTTTTACTAAATTCATTTAAGTCTAAGAGCCACAATCTAGGATAGGATTTGCTTAAACTGCACTATATTCCTGAGTAGGAAGGTTATCTTTCCTGGACTAAAAAATTCTTTTTAGTCTACAAATTGCAATCCAAAGCAAGATTACCCTATTTTTCCGACTCATAAACCTTCCTACATTCCTGAATAGGAGTGTCCTTCTAGATACTGATAACAATCTAAAGTAGGACTGGCCTACTTTTCATTATTTCAACGAATCTTGAACGAACTATTTTCGTACAAGAACATTACTACAATCCATGACAGGGTTACATCTTGTACTACATAGTCACATGTTCTTGTACTCAAGCAATTGTGTTGAATTGTACTTAAGTAAAGAACCAATCAAAAACAATAAAATACAATTGCACATCGAGAATTCTATAAAAAAATTGAAATTGCGTATTTACAAATGTCCTGAAATTAACACTTAATGAAAATAAATCCTATGGTTTGCAGTGTTCTAAGGACAAGGTACAGCTTTACCATCCATGTCTTCCAAGTGATAAGCCCCATTTCCTCCTACCGAAATGATCTTGTATGGGCCTTCCTAGTTGAGGCCTAGTTTTCTATCAGTCGGATTCTTCTAACTACCCAAAACTCTTTGCAGACTAAATTTCCTGGTTGGAATTCCTGGAGTAGACTTTCTTGTTGTACCCCTTCGAGAGTTGCTTTTGATAATTTGCCAGTCTGACTAGAGTTGTTGCTCTCATTTCTTCAACCAAATCCAAATTGTGAGCCAAGGCATGTTCGTTCTACAACTCTTCATAGATTTTTGATTGCAGGGTGGGCAATCCGACTTCCAATGGGATAATGACTTTAGTCCCAAATGCCAAAGTGTAGGGCATTTCACCCGTTGCCCTTCTGGGTGTCGTGTAGTAGGCCCAGGGAACATTGGGTAGTTCATTAACCCATCTCCCTTTTAACCTTTCTAAGCGCTTCTTCATTTCATCTAGCACAGTCTTGTTGGAGTCTTCTGCCTGACCATTGCTTTGAGGATAGCAGAGAGTTAAGAAGAAGTTTTTTATTCCCAATCCTGAGCAGTAATTTTTGAAGAGGGTGCAATCGAATTGTGTATCATTATCAAAAATGAATACATATGGGATGCTAAACCTTGTTATAATGTTGCGCGAAGTGAAATTCTTGAGATTCTTGTCTTTGATTGTAATCAGCGGCTCTGCTTCCACCCATTTAGTAAAATAGTCCATTGCTACCAACAGGAATTTGCATCCCCTGCCTTTTGGAAGTGGGCCAATTAAGTCCATGTCCCACGAGGCAAAGAGCCAGGGGCTGGTTAGTGAGTGAAGACCTGCCGCTGGCTGGTAAATCAACGGGAGAGAAACGCTGGCACTTATCACATTTTTTGACGTAAGACTAGCCATCCTTGTGCAAGAATGACCACCAATAGCCTTGAGTTATTGCGCATTCTGTTAAGGATCGCTCCCTAGTGTGCATTCCACAAATTCCTTCATGTAACTCATATAGGATGTCTTCGACAAGGGTTAGATAGACGTAGAATAGGTATGGGCCTATGAAGGATTTCCTGTATAGGACTTCTTTTTCTGAGATTTAGAATTTGGGTGCTCTTCTTTTGACCTTATTGGCTTCTCTTTTGTCTTCTAGGAGCACGCCCTCCCCAATGTATTTGATGATTGGATCCATCTAGGTTGGGCCATAACTGGTGCACAAAATTTGTTGTATGCCTTGTTCTATTTCTATCGAAATACTGGACTGAGGGAAGAATTTGATTGCTATAGTTCTAGCCTCAACTTTTTCCACTACTAAAGCGAGGATAGCTAGGGCATCGGTGTGGGAATTCTACTCTCTGTCCATCTGGTCAATCCTGAATTGTTGAAAACACTTCATAATATCCTAAACTTTATTTAGATAGTCTTGTAGCCTTTTGTCCCTAGCAATATATTCACCAGTGAGTTGATTTACCACTAGCTGGGAATCACAGTGTACCATATGATATTGGACGTTGAGAAGTTTTGCAATCCTTAGCCCTACAAGAAATGCTTCATACTCTACTTCGTTGTTTGAAAGTTTAAATCCAAGACGGATTACTTGTTCGTACAAAATACTTTCAGGGAAAAGTAGGGCCACACCTGCTTCTGCCCTCTTTGAATTTGATGCATCAGCCACGAAGAGATTTCAGTTGTCCAGGTCCTTCACTTATAAATTCCATGTTAAGTTATTGCCTTGTCCTGGTTGATCTTGTTGCCTAGCTTTTGTAGCATTGGACTGTTGAGGAAGTGCTAATTCTAACTATTGTCTTTTTTCTTGGGGTTGTTCCTTCTAGGTCATGCCTTATGGCCCCCCTAGTTCTTCAGCTTATGATAAATCAACCGTAGAACTCAATTACGACTGTTCAATTGAGAATTCTATGATGAAGTCAGCCAGAAGATGGGCTTTGATAGTGGTTCTAGGATGGAAGGTGACGTCGAATTCTCTTAACTCCATGGCCCATTTAGCAATGTGCCCAGAAAAGTTAGCTTTTTGAAAAAGGCTCCGCAAAGGATGTTGGGTTAGCATCGTGATACGGTGACCTTGAAAATAATATACAAGTTTCCTAGCAACAGTCACTAAGGCCAGGGCTAACTTTTCTATCGGAAGATATCTAGTTTCTGTACTATTTAAAGTCTTTCTAATGTAACAGATTGGCAGATGGTTGTTTTCCACATTTCTGACCAAGACTGAACTTACTGCATGCTCTAACACTGCTAAGTACAAGTATAACCATTCACCTCGTTGTGGGGTTGAGAGTAGAGGAGTTGAGAGGGGGTACTGTTTTAATTCCTCAAGTGCTTGATCGCACTGTTTATTCCAGTCTACTTCCTCCCTTCTTGAGGAATTGAAAGAAGGGTTTGCATTTGTTTGAGGAGCTGCTTAGGAAGCGGTTAAGTGCTGACACCATTCTTGTCAGCTTATGTACTTCCTTGAGCTTGCAAAGTGGCTGCAAGTTGAGGATGACCATTACTTGTTGAGGGTCTGCTTCGATTCCTCTTCTCGTGACCAAATGGTCCGAAAATTTTCCTAACTCAACAGCAAAAGCGCACCTCGTTTGGGAACATGCTTTTTTAGTAATGTTTTGGCTTTTCGGCTAAAATATGATGTAAAAAAAACTAGTATGTTTGGGATGACTTTTTAGTTTTTTACAAAAAAAAATGTGTAATGCTTTTTTAGTAATGTTTTGGCTTTTCAGCTAAAATATGATGTAAAAAATACTAGTATGTTTGGGATGACTCTTTCATTTTTTACAAAAAAAAAATATGTAAAAAGTAGAGAGAAAAGGGAATCTTTGACTTTTTGGTATAGGTTGTTACCTTTTTGATTTTTTTTAGTGACTTTTTGACGTTTAGGTTAAAAAGTGATTTTGCCAAACGTGGCCTAGCTTATTTCAATTTATAGGTCTTGAAGATGTTAAATGTGGTCCAAGTCCCTCAAGTGTTTTGTTTATAGCTTATTTTTGACAACCATGTCATCAATATAAGTTTCCATGGTTTTTTTTATCTGGTCAGAAAGCATGGTGGTGACTAGCTGTTGGTAAGTGGCTTCAGCGTTTTTGAGCCCAAAAGGCATCACCCTATAGCAATACAGTCCTTATAAGTTATAAAAGCAATTTTTTCCTGCTCTGGCTTATGCATTGCTATTTGGTGGTAGCCTCTGTAGGCATCTAAAAAACTCATTCTAGTGTGCCCAGAATTTGCATCAACCAATTGGTCAATTCTTGATAATGAGAAACAACCTTAGGATAGGCTCTGTTAAGGCTCGTAAAGTCTACACATACTTTCCAGTTTCTATTCTTTTTCTTAACAACAACTATGTTGGACAACCAGGTGGGGTAATGAACTTCTTTTATTACCTTTACATCTAGGAGTCTTTCGACTTCCTCAACCACTGCCTCAATGTGATCTATGTGTGACCTCCTGTTTTTCTAGATGACTGGTTTATGTGCAGAATCAACGTTGAGATGGTGATTGATAGTATCGGGGTCTACCCCTGGCATTTCATAAGGTGTCTAGGCAAATACTTCAATATTATCCATTAAAAATTTAAAAAGGAGTTCTTTATCCTGCTCGGGTAAGGAGGATCCGAGTAGAAAATACCTTTCTGAATTGCTGGGTGAGATTTGGATTTTGTAGAGCTCTTCTATTACGCATCCTTCTGGTTCCTTTTCAATGCTTCCTAGGATATTTGGATCTGGGACTTCAACTGAGCAGACTCGTCTCTGAGCTAACTTAACTTCCTTCTGCCCCAGGGCCAACATTAGGCAATGTCGCATGGACACTTGATCTCCTCGAATAGTTCTGATGCCTCAGTCTTTGTTAGGAAACTTCAAGGCTTGATGGAGAGTGGAAGGGACTACCCTGAGTTGATGTAACCATGGTCTACCCATATGGCGTTGTATGGCGAGGGCACATCTACGACCAAGAAGCATACTTCGAGGCGCACGGATCACGCTCTAATTGGTAACGTTACCTTTCCAACCAGCTAGACCAAGTTCGAATTGAAGCCCAAGAGCGCTGAGTCAACTTTCTTAAGATTCTGATCCTTAAGACCCATGCTCTGATAAAGTTCATAGTA